TGAAAGTAATTCTGACGGCCTGCGATTTATAGACTGCATAGAAAAGATGGATGCAGCCATCATAACATCGTGCCACTGGCTGCTACATCCCTCCTTTGAAGCCACAAATTTGCCATTTGGGCTGACATCTTATGTTATTAAAACTACATGTGCGAGATGAGGACGGGTGGCTTTAATCTGATTGAGAGACACTACACTCTTATAATAGCGATTTGTCAAGCATAAGCTAGGCCTGCCCTAAAGTATACCCTGCTTTATCCTTGTTTTGGACTAATGAAAATCATAAAGTACATGTTGAACATCATGTTGTATCATGATAAAGTCTAAAACTTGTGACTGAGACCATCAACTCAGCAGGAAAGTAATCACTGAGCTCATAAATCAAGTGAGACTTTATGCATCTGATATGATTTAAGAAATGATTGTAGTTCAGGTTAAAAAACAAAACAAACACCTTTTATAATACGGTAATAACCCCAAGACAGCAACCTCCTCACTGCTTTATCAAAGCTGCCTCCTCCCTTACTTGGGTGAATGATGAAAGAGGCCACACAAAGCACATCCAGTAGTAAGAAAGTGTCAGAGAGAAGTTGTGTGCTACAGGAGAGAAAATAAAAAGTGACTCCTGACTTTCAAACATGTGAGCCTGCTCTGCTGTCTGTGAGTGTCCTGTGTTAAAGGTTTCAGTTAATAATTTGCTCTGCTGACAATTTAAACCAGATACAACCAGAAGAAATCTAAAAATCCCTGAAGATTATACTAGAAATGGCCACCTGCTGTGGTCTTCTACAGTTCTTAGCTGTGAGGAGTTAATATTACAACCAAGGCTGAGTTGAGCACATCTTCGAATAAACACTGGTAAGTAAGAAGCCATCTATGTCCCCTGTGAACGAACATCTTTGAACAGAGGCGGTGGTTTACAACACCAACTGTCTGCCGTCTATTATCCAGTTTTCAGATACCCACTCACATCCTGGGACATTTGACCTCAGGAAATCACATGATAGTGTGGGGCTTGGTCATACAATGGGTTCACCAGAAACGTTGGCTGCTTGTGACCCACACCCATTTTCACACCTTGGCTCATATGATTAGGTAGAGGATCCATAGTGGGTCCATGACCCTCTTGGGGGGACACTCCCATAGGGCTCAAAATCTCCATTAATTGCACTTAGAACCGAAGAAGCTTCTCAGATGAGAGGTGAAACATCTTCAAGGAAACTAAAAGAAATGCAGCTGTTTTTTTTCTCTCCAAGCTCCTTAGACTGGAAATGACATGTTCAGATTTATTTGACTTGAAAGTCTTGGTTAAAATGTAATTGTAATTGTTAATTCAGAGGGTCAGGAACTCCAGTCAGTTTCACTTCAGGCCACTGCAGTATTTCTTTAAAAGACCCACTCTCTTTGCCCAACAAGATAGACACCCTAAAAACAAACTTAGCTAAGGTCACAGTTTGACTTTTCAGCAGAAGTAAAATCATTAGCAGCGTCCTGGGTCAAACTTTACTTGCATGATAATCTGTGGTTGAATACATGGATATCAAACATACCTCTCTTTTTACCTAAAAGCAGACAAAGTTTAGAGTGGGAGCTGTTGTTTTAGCATGGTCCTCACGGCCCTATCATTGTACCGAGGACTTTACTGTAATGGAATTGATCGCGAATCAATACAGCTATTATCTAAAACAAACCACTGCCTTGATCAATATTCAGACCACTGACTCATCTTGGCTTTCACTCTGTCTCACTCAGCACTGAGACTCTGGATCTCTGCTGAGCCTGTGAAAAGCTGCTGTATGAACAGTAACTCAAACTTGGCCTCTCCGTGAGCGAAACCTTGACTTGCCTCCACATTTACCAACCTCACATGCAAAGAGAACACGGTATTAATATTCCCCAAGTTCACTGAACAGGCCTGAGCTTCTACTCGACACCAAAAAAATCATTTCCATATCATTATCTGGTGCAACAATGCACAAGACGAAGGTCTGCGCGAATAAGACTTTGAATTGAGATCAATGTAGTACTTCTACACATTTGATGTGTGCAATAAAATAGTCACACATACATCTAGTGCAACTTAAATGGATGTATGTAACCTGATAGTTTCACAGTTCATTTTTATCAAACACTGAAGAGCAGGTTTAAATAAAGGTTTGTTTACAGAAAAATGACTAAAGAAATATCATTTATATTCAACTTAACACAGACAGGCAGGGCAATGGGTTTGTTTCTTTGCTTTAATTAAAAAAAAGGAAAAGTAAACCGGGTCTAGAAATGTACGACCATCGGTGGAATTACAGAACGCTACAAAATACAGTAGGTACTTATGTTTTAATCTAAATTTCAAATAAGTTTCATTTTATTTATAAAACAATGCATTTGTTTTCAATTCTGACAGAGAAAATATCAGCTGGAATCAGATTTTTAACTCCCCGGGGTCAATCACATGACCGATTTAAGACGACACAGCAACAAGATGCAGCGACCCATTTCAACTTGGGTCGAAAGTGCGGACTTCAAACTATATACCAGTTTAGGCCTGTGGTGTACTTTGTTGTTTGCAAAACTTGTGTATAATTTTTTAAAAACCATTTCTATTTGCATTTCAAGTTATGAAGATGATTTGTTAAACATGTTTGTTGTTTTTACTGTAAAAAAATAACTTTTTCTACTCAGATTTTATGTTTTTTGTATATCAAAGGGTTAAAACACTGGAAACTGGTCTTAAAAATCCCATACTGGTCAGACTCTAGGAAATACCATCAGCTTTCTGACATGTTCACCATCTTTAATTAGCATTAAAGACAATTACCAAATGACAATAGATCACTAAATTTAATTCAGAACATCAAACTTTAAATTCCTGGTATTGTTAGCATGACTAAAACAATAAAATGTGACAAGAAAATTATGGAAAGGCGGGAAAATTTAAAGCGCACTTAAAAGGAAAAAACAAAAAACAAAACAGTTTTGCAAAACCAAAAACCAGTATTTATACCAAACTGGTGCAGTTTCAACCCTTTTTCACTTCCTAACAGACTCTACACGTACTCAAGGACATGCAGATATAGTTGGAAATGGTACTCACGTTGAGAAGGCGTTGTTCTGCCTCTCACAGCGGATGCCCTTGCAGTTGTTGGGTTCCTCTGATGCCTTTGTTTCATAGTAGAAATACAGCTGGTTCAAACCATTAGCAAATGCTAACAGGACCTACACATAATGAAAAACACAAGACAAAACACATCAGCGCTGCACTTAAACACCTGATCTAACACATACTCTTAGCAACCACGACACTCCACCCAATGATTTTGCGCTGTCACCTCGAGACTCCACACATTAACCACCAACATATAATGAAATATAATACTGATTTCTCAATATCTGAAAGAAAAAACCCTCAATACTTTTTCATTTTGAAGTGAAGCTCTGCAAATATAACATTTCACTTTTATTACAGGGATTGACCTTTAGTGCCTCCAGGCCATTTTAAAACGCAGCTTTCATCTCAAACAGGAGAGAGCTAACATGAGTAGTGTTACATAAAGCTGCTACTGTGTGAACATGAAGTATTATGGCGTAGGTGCCCGGGGGTTGCTGGGATTGGTTTTAAGACTGTCAGGAGCAAAGCAATTCACACGTGGATTGTGTTGTACGTTAGGAGTTCCTTTGGGGAGGAATTAATGAGTTTCAGATGTAATGAAATGGGCTTGTAATGTCCTTCTACCGCCAATCAAGGATGCAGCATGCTGAGAAATTTGCTTGCTTTCATCATCATCAAAGATGCAGACAGTACTGGATAAAATGGAAACTTCAAAGCTGCTTAACAAGAAACAAAAGAGGGGTGGCCTGAATTCAATTCCTACTGACAACCCGATTGTTGGATGTCTTCCTATCGTTGGGAACGTGTAATAGGCTTGACAATGTTCAAGGTAAACCTGGATGTTTAGCACATGTAAAAAGCAAGTAAGACATCATACTGCCTGTGTAGAAAGCCGGATTGACTGAAATGTTGCATGTCTGTTTCATCAGATGTGTGTGTGTCTGTGTAGACACAGAACCACTTAAACATTCAGACCACACACGCGAGTATCATATTTATATCACGGGAGAGGGGGGAGCAATACAAGCACCACACCAAGGTTATTTCCTTCCACCTGAGACTGAAGAGCATTGATCTTGGCAGGAAGCTACAGTACAGGGAGTGCAGAATTATTAGGCAAATGAGTATTTTGTCCACATCATCCTCTTCATGCATGTTGTCTTACTCCAAGCTGTATAGGCTCCAAAGCCTACTACCAATTAAGCATATTAGGTGATGTGCA